GGACGGATAGCTTGACCTAGGTGAGTCTAGTGAGTTAGGTGTGGTGCACACTTGTTGAAACTAGCACTAGGTAGCTCCTACATATGCCTAAGATCCAATGGAGCAAACTTCATTCACGTATGATCGAGAGTTGGAAGTGAATGGAGGGTCAAATACTTACCGGACACTAGCTTCGGTGTGACCGGACGCTGGCGCAGAGTCTGGTCAGTTCATTTGACCGAGAAGAAATTGTTTGGTGCGACTGGACGCTGGAAGGTCATGTGACCGGACGCTGAGAGCCAGCGTCCGGTTGTTTCTAGTAAGGTTCCAGAGAGGGGAAATCGTGACCGGAGCATCCGGTCAACATGACCGGAGCGTCCGGTCACCCCGCAGAGGCACATAACGGTTCGTTTTTCAGCCCATGTTATAAATAGAAGCTCCACTCGTGTGTGGAGTCACTTCTGCTCATTCCAACAGCTGAAACACACTTTAGAGAGTGTCAAGAAGAGCAATGTCCTAGTGAGGTGATTGAGATTTGAGAATCCCAAAGAGAGCCCTCATTAGTGAGATCAAGAGTAGCAAAGTGTGCATCCATCTTTCTCCCTAGGCTTGTCGTGGTCAAGTGAGAGTTCGTGCTTGTTACTCTTGGTGATCACCATCACCTAGACGGCTTGGTGGTGATTGGAGAGCTTGGTGATCATCCGGAGAGCTTGTGGATGACCCAACTCAAATTGTGAGCGGTTGTGGGTGATTCACCGCGACGGAGTGTCGAAGAATCAACCCGTAGAGAACACTTGATCCTTGCGTGGATCAAGGGGGAGCTACACCCTTGCACGGGTGCTCCAACGATGACTAGTGGGGAGTGGCGACTCTCCGATACATCGACAAAACATCGCCGCGTTTCCTCTCCTCTCTATTTACTTTGAGCATTTACTTTGAGCATTTAGTTTGAGCAATTCAATTCTTGTTCTTACATTCATAGAATTGCCATGCTAGAGTAGGATTGGAAATTAGGTTGCAAGTCTTTCATGCGGTAGAACAACTAGGAACACTTTCTAGGCACAAGGGGTTAATTGGGCTAACCATAGGACTTAATTATTGCAAAAAAAATTTTAATTAGCCCAATTCACCCCCCTCTTGGACATCTTGATCCTTTCAACTACAATTGAAACAGGTGCACTTGCTACTATATCATTCTTCGGCAGCACCCTCCATTACACACGTGGAGATAGTTTGTGCTCTTATGCCACTTCCCCTGTGCCTCAAAGATTTTTTTTCATCAATTCATCTGTTGATGTTTGAGCAATGGCCATATAAATACCTTGTGTAGCTAAACATGGTTGTGGGTTGAAGTAGCTGCGCCTACACCTGCATAATTGTGGATACGAAAAACTCTAGTTAAGTAGCCGTGGAGTTTGTGACTTGCATTGAACGCCCAAGCTAGTGTTGCCCTGTTCGTTTGGGCTTGTTTGGCTTATAAGCCGTACTTTTCAGCCAACGAACAGTATTTTTCTCTCACACCAAATCAGCCAACAGTACTTTCAGTCATGGCTTATCAGCCAAATAAGCCCAAACGAACAGGGCGGGACCGTTCCCAAGTCCACGTACGGTGCTGCGGAAACCATTGTTGCCCAAGTTCGCTATATATATTTTGGCACGCCTGACCTGATCGATGTTGAGGGATACGTGCAGCGGTGCAGGATATGAGATGGGATATGCTACAACACTCCATACTCAACCCAGCCCATTGCTTGCTGCTCGATATATACAACTAGGAGGGGTTGAGAGAAGATAGATGTGCAGCGTCTGCATTCAGCAAACCTTGCAACCATGCTTTGAGACTTCTATCGCCACTAAATCCTCATCAGGAACTTGCATTTCGGTTCTATGGTCCATTTCGTATTTTGAAGAAAGTGGGAACAGCGGCTTACAAACTGGAGTTGCCATCATCATCGCACATACATCCAGTGTCATGTGTCGCAATTGAAGCAGCATGTGCCTCCACAAACTCCCATATTTACTGATTTGTCAACGGTCAGCTCTGACCCAGACATCATTATATGTCCAACACATGTGTTGGCTCGTGTTTTCAGACCATGTGCAGGGCGACAACGTTGAAACTGAAGGTGCTTTGGGGCGATGTGCAGACTTCTTTGGTCACTCTGGAAGATGAGCCAGACCTGTAGTGTCACTATCCACATGCACCAACTTGGGGTCAAGCTGTGTTTCAAGAGGGGAGGTATGTCATGACTCCGCGGTATATTCGAAGACGACGGCGAAAGCAAGCATGGAAGTGGAGGTGTTTGGGATCCGACAAGAGGGAGGAACACAATGGCGGACTAGTGGACCCTAAAGCTGGTGGGAATGATAGGTGGAACCAAACAGAGTCCGGAGTCAGCGTTGCGTCATCTTAAAGGGCTGAAAATGGCATGTAACCGACAATCGATTATGAACTGTGATCCAAACTCTAAAAACAGGGTTCCTTCTTGCGGGCTCTCGCCATGCTGAAATTCCTCTGATTCCTACTCGTTACTTGCTAAATCCACCTTCAATTCTTCCTTAGCTATCCTAGTTTGTCACACTATGGATTATGAATGTTTTTATATGATAAAATTTAGAAACTTTTATACATACTCTATTATAGTAAACACATACTCCCTCTGTCCCATAACGAAAGACGTAGCAAATGTAGTATTCATTGAGGTTATGGATAAAAGACCTGGCTACCCCTATAAACTTTATCGTTACCTTAATGTGTATTTGAGTTGACATGCTCATTTAATGCTATGCTTGCTCTCACGTCCTGTATTCTAGACTGAGGAAGTACTCCCTCTATCCCAAAATGCTAGACGATATAGGATTCAAAATATGTCCAAAATAGATGATGTTGTAGCCCAACATCTATATCTTGTGTCTGATCCAACTATCACTTCGTTCTCGTCCACTAGCCTAAAGATGAATGAAAAAAGAAAAGTAAATCTACCGATGGTGTCCTCTAATGTTGACAGTTGAATAAAAAATATTTCCTGGCCGGAGCGCTGCTCCCATGCTCCATCTGCCGGTATTGTGGAATGATTCCCTTGTAAGAGTCCGCACGGAAGCGTAGGCTAAACTTCAGACCTGTTACGTCGGATCTTTATACCAATGTATTATGTAGGCTAATTATAAAACTAATTGTACAGATAGAGGTTAATTTACGAGACGAATTTATTAGGCCTAATTAGTTCATGATTTAACAATATGGTGCTATAGTAAACATGTGCTAATCATGGATTAATTAGGCTTAATAGATTCATCTCGCTAATTAGTCCACTCCTGCGTAATTAGTTTTTAGGGTTTTTTTATCAGTACCATTACAATTTTCGAAGTTTAGAAAAACACCATTACTATTTACCTATTTTGAAGCATACCATCGCAATTCTTTGTTCCTCACAAAAATACCATAGAATATATATGAGGACGATATGGGCCCAGCTGCAGGCGTATACAACGAAGTGTATTCTCGTATGGACTCAAATGCCCTCGGCTCCAAGTGGATAGGGTCCATGGCAGCCCCTCTCTATCACTGACGTACGGACCCCACATGTCATCTTCTTCCTCCTCTTCCCATCTTCTCCAAGATGGCCACCATGGCGGCGGCAAGGAAGACCAAGAAGAAGTTGCTCGCCGGCGACTCCCTCGTCAACTGTCAGGCTCGCGCGTGCGTGCTGCCGTGGCCGCGCCATGGCCAGCGAGCGCGCGCGAGCAGGCCGCCACGATGCTGCCGGGCAAGAGCGCAAGAGCTTCTGCATTGGGCCAGCCGAGCCGCTGCCTGGCTCGTGCGCGGGGGGCTGCTGTGGCGCCACCGGATGAGGAGGCGGTCGCGCCATCGCCGGCGAGCGCGCAACGACGGGCTGCCAGGTGTCACATTCGGGCCAGTTTGGAATTTGACCCGTAGTGGGCCATGTGAATGTTAATGAGATATTGTGGAGAGTTTAGTTCCACCTTGTTTGTTAAAGGTGGGATAGACCAACATATAAGGCTTCTAGAGTCCATCTCATCATCGCCGGGTTAATCCTTTTACGCGAAGCGAGGACGAAAGCGTAAGTGGGATTGTGGTAGGTGTGGTTAACTTAGCGTGTAGAGTGGATCTGAGCCTTTTGCACTCTGGGACGTTACACCAGGCGAGTGTGTGGGCGGGCGAGCACGCCCTCGCTGCCAGATGACCGGAGACGAAGAAGAAAACACAGAGAGGGAGGAGAGACGAGCAATATCGTCCAGATGAAAATACCGGTATGTCCCGTACGCCTGCAGGTGGGTCCAAGTCAATTATAATGACATGCTTTAAAAATAGTAATGGTATTTTTCTAAACTTCAAAAATCGTAATGCTACCAATTAAAAAAAACACTAGTTTTTAGGTGACTAAGGTCATGCACAACCCACAAATGGGAGGCCGTCTACAAGAGCCTCAAATCCGATGTACAAATAGCTAGAGAGACTGACTGTACAACCCACAGACAGGGGTCGTCTGCTCTTCCTTGCCAGTGCCACGCCCTAGCATTGTTCCATCATCGCGCGTTCCGATGCTCATGGCACCGTCAGCGGCGAGCACCGGTGACAGCTCCGGTGCTCTGAGCCACCAGGCGCGGCTGCAACTGGATCCCGAGTGCGTGTAGCCTAGAGACGACACCCGTACAACGCTGCATCTGCCGTCGCGTGAGCTTGGGAGCACGAGCCACAGTCGTCACCTCGTGAGACGACAACCCCGCCCGTCTCAAGCTTGCCAGGGACGTTGTTGCAAAATATACGGTATACAGACGGCGTAATTATTGTCGTTGTACATGCCCTGAAACTTTAGCCCTGGGTCAACCCCCAAAGTTTGACTTCGGGAATGTGGCGAGCAAGGCAGGCGATAAAAGCGTTGGGTCAAAGAAAAGGGCTCGCGTTGTCATTTGTCAAACAGAACACAAGCTCACCCGTGCTCCAAGTCTCCAACTGTACACAGGCTTCACATCTTGGATCCCGTCGCCGGCGGCCGCCCATGGACGCGGTGGGCGCGGCAACCTGGATTGTCCAGGTGGTTCTGGAGAAGCTCGTCGGCGATGGCATCGACGCCGCCTGGGCCGCCGCCGCGAGCGGCTCGGACGCCGACCCCAGCAGCGACGTGCGCCGCCTCCGTTCCCGCCTCCAGAGCCTGCACCTCGTCCTCTCCGCGGCCCAAGAACGCGTGCCCAGGGCTCGCGGCGAGGCACTTCTCAGCTCCCTGCGGCGTCTACGCAGCCTCGCTGGCGATGCCGACAACCTGCTCGACGAAATGCTCTATTACCAGATCCACCGCCAGCTCCATCCGGACCAGGCTAGTGACTCTTGTTCTTCAATATCAGCTGTCCAATCAGCCATCTCCAAGATTCGGGGTGCCACTGCCAAGAGGGCACGCCTAGGAGATAACGATACTACTGGTAGAATAAAGGAAATTTTGGAGCAGATGTGTGAGGCTGGGAATGATGTCCGCGAGGCAATCAAGCTGGAAAAGTTGGATGCTTTTGTTGATTTGGGATGCCATGATGCTTATGTGCATCCACGGGGGCAGACAACATCTTTCATCACGGAGCTGAAGGTGTTTGGGAGGGACACCGTGAAGAAGCGCATTGTGGCGATGCTGACAAGCAAGGAGGCCTGTGATGTACATTTATCGGTTCTTCCAATCGTGGGGAATGGTGGCATTGGGAAAACTACGTTAGCACAGCTAGTGTATAATGATGCAGTAGTGCAGGATCACTTCAGCAAGCGGATATGGATATCAGTCTCCATCCATTTTGATGAAGTAAGACTCACTCGTGAGATGCTGGAATGTCTGTCGGATGGTGTGAGCAAGCATGATGAAATTATCAACCTGAATAAGCTTCAAGAGATTCTTGAGCAGAGTGTGAAGTCTAAGCGACTGCTACTTGTTTTGGATGATATGTGGGAAGACAATGATAAAAGCCGGTGGGAGAAGCTTTTAGCACCCCTGAGGTGTAGTTTACTGAAGGGTAGTGTGATCTTGGTCACAACAAGAAATCACTCTGTGGTGAAAATGATTGCTACGATGGATCCCATCCATTTGGATGGCTTGGAAGATGATGACTTTTGGCTTCTGTTCAAGTCATGTGTATTTGGTGATGAGAAATATGAAGGACACTGGAATTTGCAGATTATTGGGCAGAACATAGCTAAAAGGTTGAAGGGATACCCCTTAGCAGCAAAAAGTGTTGGTGCACTTTTGAAAAGAAGCCTTGATGGTGGACAGTGGATGGAAATATTACAAAGTGATGAATGGAAACTGCAGCAGGGGCCAGATGATATCATCCCAGCACTCAAAGTTAGTTATATACACTTGCCTTTTCATCTCCAAAGATGTTTTTCATATTGTGCATTGTTTCCCAAGGGTCACAGTTTTGATGCACTGGAGTTAGTTCGCATTTGGATATCACAAGGTTTGGTTTCTTCTAAAAACTTGAGAATGGAGGAGACTGGGCATCAATATTTGAATGATTTGGTGGATAGGGGTTTTTTTCAAAGAAGTGTTTATTACTCTATGCATGATCTAATGCATGACCTTGCATTGATAGTTTCATCAGATGAGTGTCTTGTAATTGACAGTTTTGGTTCAACAAATACAACACTCTTTCCAACTATTCAACATTTATCTATAAATGTGAGATATGCTTATAAGTGGAACGCAGATGATCGAAGATTTTATCCTAATGATACATTTCAGAGGAAGCTGGCTTACATTGGAGATTCGGTGCAAACAAGAAATTTGAGCACTTTAATGCTATTTGGAAAGTATGATGCTGCGTTTTCTGAAACCTTTTCCCATGTATTCAAAGATGTGCATCATCTACGTGTTCTGAGATTACCCACACTAACTTATAACATAGACTTTCTCCTTAGAAACTTCAGTAAGTTGATCCATCTGCGCTACCTTGAACTAATATCCAGTGGTCCTACTGAGCCTTTTCCAGAGGTTATATGTCAACTTTATCATCTACAGGTCCTTGATGTAGAGTTTTGGGTTCACCTTTCTGCTTTACCAGGATGCATGAATAACCTTGTCAACTTGAGACATTTTGTTGCTCGAGGTGAATTGCATGCAATGATTGCTGGGGTTGGTAGATTAAAGTTTCTCCAGGAATTAAAGGTCTTCCGAGTAGGAAAGACTACTGACTTTGAAATAGGACAGTTAAATGGGTTAAGAGAATTGGGTGGGTCACTCGAAATTTACAATCTAGAGAATGTGGGAAGCAAGGATGAGTCTCAAAGTGCTGGATTAAAGGATAAAACATACCTACAGGATTTGCTCCTGTCATGGTCCAGTAATCGGTGTGTGGTGAGGTGCATAACTGAGGCTGATGTGCTTGAGGGCCTTCATCCACATTCCAGGCTCAAGCGGCTTCATATAACATGGTATGGAGGTATTTCTTCTCCGACATGGTTGTGTTCCAATCTTTCTTTCATCTGCTTAGAGTCTATCAGTCTTGAGAATTGCACAAAATGGGAGATCCTTCCACCACTTGGACAATTTCCATTTCTTAGAAAACTGTATTTGATTCAGTTGCCTGCATCAAGGGAAGTACCTACGGTATCCTGTAACTACTGGACTGGTTCTGAAAAGCAGGTCCTGTTTCCATGTCTAGAAGAACTTGTGGTTAGGGACTGTCCTGAACTAATGGCATTTCCATTGTCACAATGTTCATCTAAAAATGAATGCTTCTGTTCATTTGGCTATCTCCGCGAAGTTACGATCTACAACTGTCCTCGGCTAATGAATTTACCCCCATTTGGTCAGGTGAAGTCTCTATCCACAATATCTATAGAGGGAGTAGGATCATTTCCTTACATCAGATTATTCATGAAAGCATTGTTTATCAAGGGATGTATCGCCCCAAGAACCTTGGATGATATATTATTATTGACTGAATGTAGTCTGAGTATTCTTGAGAAATTAACGATTGAGAGCTGCTTGGATCTTGCATATTTATCATGTGAAAGTTTTAAAAAACTTGTCTCGTTAGAGAGCTTGGTAATTGTGGATTGCACAAGGCTATCCTTGCCATTGTATTCATATAGCCAATATGAAGTCATGTTTTGTTTCCCTTCATTACTCAAGAAGCTTGTAATCCGAGCATGTGGCATCACAGGGAAGATGTTAACTCGCGTGTTGTCACAATTGCACTTTATGGTTTGCTTGACAATTACGAAGTGCCCAAACATAACATCTATAGCAGTTGGTGGTCTGATTACTGGGACTGCCAGCTCCTCAACATCTGACTGCCATAAGCAGACAACTGATGGCTTGTTACAGATCCCATCAGATACCTCACATCGGCTTCAATATTTGTGCATAGAAGACTTCTCGGATCTGATTCTCTGCAAAGAAATTTTTCATGAATTTATCTCTCTCACTACGCTACGCATAACAGGATGCCCACAGCTTATGGTCACAATGACCATTGAGAAAGAGAGATCCAAGCACAACCTTTCTCTTCTACCACCATCACTAAAGGACCTTATGGTTTCTCATATGCATGACAAATTATGTCCCTTCATGCTCTCTAATCTCGCCTTATTGTCCAACTTGGAAATATCTAAGAGTCCAGAGCTGACCTCTCTTGACCTTCATTCATGCAAATCTTTAAAAACGTTGATTATCGATAAATGCGTCCGGTTGTCCGTTCTAGAGGGCTTGCAGTCCCTCGCCAATTTAAAGCATCTGCGGATTTTTGAATGTCCCAGTTTGTCTAAGCCTTGGGAACCTTCAGCTAATGGGGAGAGCCAGGGCCTTGATTTCCCATTGCATCTGGAGAAGCTTGAGATTGACAACACCTCATTCTTTAAAACATGTATTTGCAAGAAGCTCCCGTTTCTTCAACATGTTGTGTTTTTCATGGTAATGACCAACAGTTGTTGCATTAAAGTATTGAATTGATGAACTTGCACAATATGTAATGGTTTCTACTTTCTCGTCACTATTATGCAGGCCAATAATGTGAGAGCCTTCACAGAAGAACAGGAGAAAGCACTTGGTCACCTTACATCTCTCCAAGTACTTGACTTCTGCTATTGCCCTGATCTTCAATCGCTGCCCAATGAGTTGTATTGCTTTCAATCCCTTAAGAAGTTGTCAATCAAGGCTTGTCCAGGACTACAATCACTACCAGAAAAGGGCCTTCCAGCTTCACTGCAGGAGCTTTATGTGAGCAACTGCAGTGTTGAACTAAAGGAACAGTGCAGGAAAATAAAAAATGTCAGGTGTGTCTATGTTGATAGACGTCCAAGCAAATTCATAACTGTGTGCAAGATGTTGCGTCTCTATTTCAGGTGCCTGTTTCGTGTTTCCTTACTCTAAAATGTCCATCACTCGATTCTTGTGCTTGACATTCCATAGTTCCATACTATATAATTTAGGGAAGGTACTAAATACATTTTTATACATTTCTATTCTTTTGTGCATTGTAATTATATATACAGATTGAATAAGCAGTAGTTTACCAAACTAATATAGATTGTGGTTGGCTTGCCCATTAACAGGAATAGGAGAAGATGAGACTGGAGTGTAGCAGATTGAATAAGCCTATGGAGTTGAGGTTGGTGCAGAGTTCGAAATTAGGATTTTGCTCAACCACTGTAACTCTTGTTTGCTGTTTCTTCTAACTTGACATTACTACACAAAAGAGTCGTAGGCTAATATGGCCAAAAAACTTGCTCAGGTAGTGCTGCTGTTTGAGTCTACGCCACAGAGTGATTCTGAATCACACCTGCCATGGAGCTTTTCATGCTCAGATAGTCAGATGGAATCTTGGGAAGGAATTTGTGCACTTGATGGCAGGTTTCTAGGAGCTTGGGTTCAGTCACGAGAACTCTCAAGGTGCGTAATGATATGTAATTATGTGTGACCCATATTTAGTTAGAATACTACTCCATAATCTGCTAGCTTGAACGCCCTTTGCAGTGAGATGCCTGGTTATGCAATCCTTTTTGGATATTGCATTGGAACGCTAAAGTTTGGGCTCGGATAATTCCTCTGATACACGGTTTGATTGTTTGAAACATGTGGTTCAGTCATAAGGATTTTTGTTAGTTTTATTTGTTTTACACTAATTTAATAGAACGTATCTGACTCTGCTCTGAATGAAGCATTATTTTGTTTTATTGTTGGATATAATTTTACCCGAGAAGCTTGCTTTTCTTCATTGATATTCCCAGCAAATATGATTTAAATTTCTGCTCACATTTCACACTGAACTTGGGCATGGGGGGAGACTTGTTTTTGTTTATGAAAATCCTTCCTGTCCGAGTTATTGATTTTATCCCTGATAGACATTTCGTTTTATGCGCTTGTTATTTGAATTTAAGACAAGAGAACTCATCGAGCAACTTTGGTAAGGGACGGGGGACAACTCATGTTGAGAAAATTGGTTAGGCTCGGCTCTTTTACACGCAAATTACAAAAGTTGATTTGGCCATTGCATACATCTCTACCCCTAAAAAATATCCAGAGTTTCGGTCTCTCTTTTATTTGCTAGCCCGCACTCCTCTGCTGGGCTGATTCCAGCCCACTTCTCTCACTAACCGACCGGCTCATCCCTGTTAGTTTCCTCATCACAATAAAAAATGTATCGGGAACTATCTAAGTAATACTCCCTCTGGCGAGATTAAAAAAAACTCCTCTAGTGGTGATAAGCATATTTGATTAGAGAAAAAAGATTTTAATCCTAAGTGTTTCTTACAGTATATTGTCATTTGCTAAAGAATTAGTATAATCTCATAGACACTTTAAATAAAAACCTATTCATGTAAGTTTTATGTCTTAAACTAATGTATAATTTAAATAATTGTTTGTTAAAGTTAGTAAAATTTGACCAATATAATTATCATTCCAAGACGGAATGAGTACTAAGTTTTTTTTTTCCAGAAGAGGCAAAGCCCCATTTCCATTCATATCAAACGGAAATACAGGTGAATGTTAAGAAAAGGCATAGACAGGGGGATATAAGGGAGGGGCAGGTTCCCAGATGTTCTGAGCTCTGTCTCAGAGCCAGGCCACAGCCGCTACAGAAACCAAACTAGAGTTTAAGCTACTCGAAATGACAGCAGAAGAGAGACTCCAGTTATTACAGACCAGCTAGAAAATGACCACACTTCGGGGCCAAGCAAAAGACAGTGCAGAAGCAGTTTGCAAGCGGAACCACTATCCCAACAACTTTCCCCATATAGCAGCAGAGTTTTCCTTTTCACTGATGCTGGTATTCCTCGTCCTGACCACCGTCTTGCTTCAAGCGCTTGCATTGCTCCTTATGTTGACGCTGGGAGAGAAGTAGATCCGACGCCACCTTGAGCATGGTATTCACTCCATTGATAAGCAGCTTCCTGTCAACTTCAGCGTAGAGACCTGTCCAAAAATGCATTAAGGCCCCCGCATGACAGATTATCTCAATTGGATTCTTAATGATCTTCCCATCATGAGTACTAAGTTTGGGTGGTCGATTTACTACCGTGTCTATGTGCTTCACATTGATAAGCAGCTTCCTGTCAACTTCAGCGTAGAGACCTGTCCAAAAACGCATTAAGGCCCCCGCATGACAGATTATCTCAATTGGATTCTTAATGATCTTCCCATCATGAGTACTAAGTTTGGGTGGTCGATTTACTACCGTGTCTATGTGCTTCATAATCAAACTGAGTTTTTGATTTGATTTACTGAAACATAAAAGGCATCAACATGATATACTTAAAAAATTACTGCCCTTTATGTATTTCTATTTCACGAAGTCAAACCGAGTTTTTATACCTTTTACCAACCCAAATATAAAGGCATTAATAATACAATAAATCGTAAAACATACAGAATAGAATACACAAACTGTGTATGTTTGGCGGGCTTTTGATTTCCGGTGGAGAAGCTAAAAAAACAGGCTAAAGAGGGTCTTTATCTTAACAGGATGGCTTAACATCCTTGAGTTTTATACCAAACTGAACCTAAGTTGGAGGAATGATTCATGCAGTCTTCTACGAGAGGGCCATTAGGAATAAAATTGCATAGCGGAATAAAATTGCATGGACCCAGGGTCCAGTTCTCTTATGGACCTCTATCCTTGATTGACGACATTGTGTACCTAAAATTAATCGCACAACTGATCTACTGATCTAGAAAAGGTAATATTTTGTGGGACCATATATGTGCTTACATTGATATATTTGTTGACCGCATATTTTTTTTAAGATGTATGTGTCTTCCATCACGAATAGAGGTCCATTTGAGAAAATTGGACTCTGGGTCCATACAATTTAATTCCAAAGCGATGTAGTTTATTCTTTCCTTAGTTTGCTCAACGTGCAGGAGTCGGCAGAGAGACACACAGCTCTCAGTTCTTTCGTTATACCTTTGTTGTATTCATACTTTTCCTTTAATTACAAAAGAGGAAGGCTTAGATTCGTTTCTTCACCACTGCAAAGCAAACGCATGTTTTTTGGTCCTCCCAAGCAAGGTAGATAATTCCTTCCCTCCCAATATAGTTATTTGTGTGATTGTGTCATTGGCCCTGCTGAGTTTGTCCTCTTCCTCTTCCTCCTCAGACCTCAGACCAACTCTACCTAGAGGCTAGAGCGCGAGCCGCGAGGGACAGGAGCTACCATGGCGGACGTCGCGGGGTTGCTCGCCTCAGCCATCGTCACCCAGGTGGGTGCGAAGCTAGGCTCCGTCATCGGAGATCAGGTCTCAATGCTGTGCTGCTTCGAGGATGATATGGAGGACATGAAGGCAACGGTAGAGTCGATGGAGGCTACACTGGAGGATGCAGAGAAGAGGTCAATCAAGGAGGAGGTGTGGCTGTGGCTGAAGCGCCTCAAGAATGACGCCCTGGACATCTCCGATATGATCGACGAGTGCCACACTGATTCCAAGCAGACTGATGGAAAGGTATGTTCATGTCTAAGCACAATGCTACGAATCACTAGCTCCGTCCTAATTAACTCAAACCATTTAAATTTCGACCAAGGTTTTTTTTAAAGAGTTTAATTCGACCAAGGTTATAGAAATTAAAAGATCATTAACATTTCTTTTGAAAGAACTGGTAGGAGATCTACCTGTTGTATTAAAAATAAAAAGGGGGAGGAGCCCAGAGGGGCCTTTATAAAGTTAATGTTACCTGTCGAGCAAGAGTTCAGAAGCAGGAAAACAAAAACCACACCAGAAAAAAGGCACAAAAAAGTAATGCTCATATCCTCATTACAAGTTTGCCCAGATGCTTGGCGCCTGCTGCAATCCACATCGATGCCTCTTCTTTAATTTTCTGGATCAGCACAAAGTTCGGGCACGTTGATTATTAACATTTATGACATTAAATAGGTACATCATGATGAATCTAAGGATGGTTGTTTAGAAATATTAATTTTAATATTTTTTTGCATAAACTTGGTTAAACCTAAGGTTGTTTGACCTATGAAAAAACTTGAATGTTATTCTTTTTGAGACGGAGGGAGCACTAGATATTTTTGAGCTTAAATATGGTTTGATGGCTTAATGTTTTTCTCTTCGCCGTGCTTTAAGTAATCATTTGTTTCTGATCAAATTTCTTGTAGATGACGGGGATTTTCTCATGTCTTGACATTGCATCCAAGATTTCCGTGGCTAATAAAATGAAGAAGATACGTGACCAACTGAGAAAGATTAAAGAGGATCACCAGAACTTCAGATTTGAGCCTTACCAAAGAATGGACAATGATCATCTGTTTATTACTGATAGAGAAACAACATCCATGATCAACAAAGCAGATATCGTGGGGAGAGACAAAGAAAGAAAGAGAGTCATAGCATTGTTATCTGCAAGCAACAACAAAGAAGGCGCTGCAATTCTTCCAATCTTTGGGCTTGGTGGCATTGGCAAGACAACATTGGCTCAACTAGTTTTCAGTGATATCCATTTCAAGGAGTACGACCATCGGGTATGGGTTTATGTGTCCCAGGTGTTGGATATGAAAAGGGTAGGGAACACCATAATTTCTCAAGTACTGAAACAAGGGAGACATGATGGAGATAACATGGAGTTCATAAACCAGCGCATTCAAGAACTACTTGATGATAGGAAGACACTTATTATACTAGATGACCTGTGGGAGACAGACGACTCTCAGTTGAATAAGTTGAAACTTATGCTTAATGTTAGCAATAAGATGAAAGTCTTAGTAACAACACGCAACGAAGACATAGCAAATAGAATTTGCACCATTACACCATTCAGGCTTAGTCCCCTGAATAATGACATGTGCTGGGATATTATTAAGAAAAAATACACACTTTGAATCTAGAGGGGACAAACAGCAGCTAGAGCAAATTGGTCAGGCTATTGCAAGCAGGTGTGGAGGTGTGCCATTAGCAGCTCAAGCACTAGGGTTCATGTTGTCCAGAATGGATCTGAAGCAATGGAATGAAGTGAGCAATAGTGATATTTGGAATGAACCTTTTGCAGAAAATTCAGTGTTGCCATCCCTGAAGTTATCTTACATTGCTATGCCGCCAAATCTGAGGTTATGCTTTGCCTACTGTGCCATCTTTCCAAGAGGCCACAGTATTTCTAAAGATAATCTGATTCACCAATGGATTGCTCTTGATTTCATCAAGCCATCAAATATGTTTCCAAACTTACTGCTTGGTGACAAGTATTTCAGCCAACTCTTAGGCATGTCTTTTCTTCAGCATTCAAAGTTGCCAATTGTACGTTACACAATTCCACGACTAAATGGTTTCTTTTTTCTTTTAACTTCTCTGTCCTGAATCATAATAAAAACATAATTTGAGTAGATAGATATTTTGTGTCTAAACATCGTGATGTTTCTTTTAATGGAATATCAGAACCATATGCGGACGAGAACACCTTGATATCTCATGATTCTTTAATAAGAATGTATAAACTTATCTAAAGAAACAATTTACAAAATTTATTTTCATGTAGTAATGTAATTTTAAGTGAACTGTCAATGTTCCTTGTACGTGATTTGCTGATGGAACATATTTGATGATTAGAAAATTATTGAAATAAGTATTTATCCAATGGATGCATCCTTAATTACTTGGTCCACATGGTGATACAAGACATTTATGCTTACTTTTAATTTAACATAGGTAAAAATATGTAACTTAGAAACATATATAGCATACTTTTTTATTATTGTATTGCTTTCTCTAATACCTTGTATTGTTATTTATATGTGGATTTGAGGAATATTTTAGTTGGTGGATAATTTAGATACAAATTACTTATGTTATCTTTAATAATGGTTATGTGGGTAATTTGGAAACATATTTATGAGTTACTTTGCATTATCTTTAATAATAGAAAACGCGGTCCAAATTTAGGGTTTGTCTTAAAATATATTTAATAATGGTAGGCGTAGGTAATTTAGATGCAGATTTAGAGAGTTACTTTATGCATTTTCATAATAGGAGTTGTGTGCGTGTGTGTTTTTTTTTTAAAAATAGAGTAAATCTAATGACAATTATTGATAATGTGTTTAGTGCCTACCAAATGAAAAGTCATATGTGAAAAATTATAGGATTTAGCCTTTTTTGTCTAGTGCATATCGTGAGATTTAACGTGAAGAGTGCGTTGGAGATATTGAATTATAGTGTAGTCTCTGTTTCTTGTTTCCCAAATTCTGGTGCCACTAGGCACTTCCATTATTTCTCCTAAATCTAAGTCGACAAACTGTGCCACACTGTTTGACTATTGTTTGTTGGAATGATCTCGGTTCAGCCAATGACTGACCTGAGTCATTGTTGTATGTTGTGTGCTGCTTGCCTGCCTTTTCCGCACCCCAGACGGCCAGACCCATAGTCAACATGTTCACAGGATGATCGGATCATGCAATGAGAATCATGGAATGTGATATGCTTTTTGAGAAAAGTTTTTTTTTTCACTCTGGCAACATACTTCAGAAGGAATAACCAGAAGGGGAACAACGTTCCCGGGACAAGGAACATGGCACCACATCATGTTCCTAGTGAAACACTACCCACGTCCTGCCATCAGTTCATAGCACGTCGCGGTGTCCCAGCTGACCATGGCCTCCTGCAGTGCTAGCAAGTGTCCTAGAGATGCAAGTGAGTTTGTCCGGGAATCCGCAAATAGATTTGTAAACCTATTTGCAGGTTCACAGACAACTTGCTTCTAAACCACGCCCAATCGTTATGCCACCAGAACATCATAGTGAGCACCAGCGTATTAGTGTTCCTGAAAAATCTAAGGGGCTGTTTGCTTCAAGACATGAAATTACGCCTGGACCAAGCAGTTCACCTAGACTATCGATTTCGAACACCTGGAGCTGGATCGACATGCCTAGATGAGGGTTCCCTGGTCAGGTAATGATCCAAACATCCCCTAAGTGCTGCTTGAAAACGTGTTGAGTGGTTGGATCTTAGTTGGATGGTCAATGTGGAGCCTAAAGTCATGTCATCCTGGATCTGTGGAGGTGGATCCGGCCATGCAGGTGCGGAGCGATAGAGGCCGGTATTGGTGTGGGTGTGGGTTATACAGCACACGGGATCTTCAGTCCCACATTGATGGAAAATACAAATACTAGCATTATTGTAACACGTCGCTGGGGTGGTGGGGAGGGGCGACGGTTATGGAGGAGGCAGCTAGGGTTGGTGGCGCAAGGGAGAGGAGACGGCGGCGGCAGGAGAAGGGAGAGAGCGAGGTAGAGGGAAGAGCAATTGCTCTATTCTTGCTTGATTAGATTGATTACATCCTCCCTATATTTATAGTCCCTATAGGACTTGTATTCCAAGCAACTAAGAGAGATATCTTTATAGATTGGATTCTCTTTCCTAACAAACCAATTCTAATCCTTTCTTTATTCTAACTAATCTTTCCTTTATTCTAACTTCCTCGGATACGGTGGCAGCGTAGAAAGCAGAGGGCGTCGGCACCCTCCCTTGGCGCGCGCGACCCCCCTAGGGGGCGCGGTGGAACCGGCCAGGGCCGGTCATCGCCTTTCCCTGGGCCTCGCTTGGCCCATTAGCTTGGGGATGAGGCCCTCTCATTAGGCGTGTGACATCACCCCCCCCATCTCCATTTAGCGCGTCTTCGCGCTGAAACCAAGTCTAGTTGGTGACGCCGTCGGAGGGAAGGTCTTGGCCCTGTAGAATGGCCTCGATGTGGATATGGAGGCTGCCCTGAGTTGGATTGGCGAGGATGACATTGTCCCTCGTGCGGTGGATGGCGAACTCGAAGCAGTAGAGGAGGTTGCCAACATAGCCGTAGAAGTAGTAGCTGTGTGGTCTGGCACCTCCCGTGGTGCCTAGAACCCTCATGCATGCTGCCATGAGGAGGTGGCGGCCGACCGCGCCATCGATGCTGAAGCGAAGCGTGTCACGGGGTGGAGCGATGAAGTTGTTGGTGCGGTTGTCGACGTTGGGCGTGATGTAGACTGGAACGCGGCGCCAAATCGTAGCGTTGGCATGCGTTGGGGTGACGTCGTCAGGTCTAGCATCGTGCCAAACATGAAGTGCCCGGGGTCAAACTCGTCTGGTGAGAGACGTTGGCGGTTGGAGCCAGGGTGAAGGGTGATGAAGACATTGTCGACGCGGAGTAGCTGGCAGCCGAGGTCATCGAGGAAGACCACGGTGACCGAAGGAATAGCGCCTCTTGGGCACAGGCGGCCCAGTAGGATGCCTGTTGGAGTCGTGTTGTAGTCAGTCGCTATCGAGGTGGAATGGTACCCCAGAGCTAGGAGCTCTGAGCAGGCTGGCCCTTCTCGCCGTATGACTTGCAGTAGATCCAGCAGGAGTGGCAAGACTGCGGGGACGTAGAGGCGTCCGTCGAAGAGGAGCAATCCTTGGTCCAACGACCAAGCTGGTGCTGCGGAGCCGTTGTCGATGGCGATGGTGATGCGGCGTAGCGCCCGCTGCTATAGAACGGCTTGACGAAGGTCGGTGAAGACCGTGTCGCTGGCGGAGCTTAGCTGGTCGAGGGCAGTGGGGCGCCTGGACCTGCTTGCGCGAAGGATGATGTCGTGAGGAGGTGATGGCAGCGCCTGATGCTTCCGGGTCGCCCATCTGATTGGTGCAGGCGCTGGAAGGGCGAGGACCGTCGTTGGTCGGCATTGAGGCCGCACGGTAGTAAAGGTGACGGGGCGACCGAGGCTGTAGTACCGAAGCTCCATGGTGGTGAAGACTGAAGTCCCATGTCAAGCGCCCTAGGCTCGCCAACCAAGGCGTGCCGAGGATGATGTCGATATCGTTGCTGATGTCGCTGCCGATGTCGAGGAGGAAGGCGTAAATGTGGAAGACCTCCGCATCGGCACATAGAGGTACACTGAAGGAGGCCGCTCCACAGGAGACCTCGTTGCCGCTACCAACGAGGATGGTGGTGTCGATGCGCTGCTCGCGGAGGCCGATGAGGCGCGCAACGTTGATGTCGATGACGTTGTGCGTAGCGCCTGTGTCGACCAAGATGTAGACGCCCGTGCCCGCGATGACACCTGTGAGGTACATAGGGGGGCACCCGCGGACCGCGGATTGTGTAGTACCTATCATCATCATGAGAGTGTCGTAGTTGTTGACGGCCGTGATGTCGAAGAGGTGCTTGCATTTGTGGCTGCGGGAGTAGGGCTCGTCGCAGTTGAAGCAGAGTCCCGCTTGTCGTCGTGCCGTCATCTCCTCTGGGGTGAGGCGCTTGAAGGGGCGGGCTGGGGTAGCTGGAGGCGCGCCGGTGGTGGATGTCGGTGTCGGTGTTGGTGTAGGCGCCTTCAGAGTCAACGGCAGGTTTGTTGACTTGTTGGCGGTGGACTTGTTGGAGTCGGCGACCACCGCAAGTCGTCGTTCGTATGCCCGAGCGAGGGACAGCCATCTCCATGTCCTGCGGGTTCTGTAGCTCGACATCGGTCTTCAACGGTTCAAGGAGCCCGGCGGTGTAGATGTTCACTTGCTGCTGCTCGTCGAGGGTGCCTGCACGCGCTACATGTGCCGGGAAGCGCTACGTGTAGTTGTCGACGGTGCTGGTCTTGCGTAGGGATGCAAGCTCTCCCAAGGGGTTGCGCCGTGTCGGTGGTCCGAAGCGCTCGTTGACGCAGCGGGCGAAGTATGCCCAGTCCGTCACTGCCTTGTCCTGCGTGAGGCGCATGTACCATTGTTGTGCAGTACCTGTCAGATGGTAAGATGCATACCAGACTTCGTCGTTCTCTGGAGTCTTTTGACCCCTGAAGAACTGCTCGCAGCAGTTGATCCACGTCAGCAGATCCTCCTTGCCGTCATACGTGGGGAAGGAGAGCTTGTGGATGCGGGGCGTCAACACAGGGAAGGAGTCTGGTTGTGCTCCTTGGTACGCGTACGGGGGTGGGAGGTTCGTCTTAGGTGCCTCCTTGAAGACGTCGAAGAGCTTGCCCTCCAGGGCATCGACGATCTCGGGGATCGACTGGGACGATGCCTTCTCCTTCTGTTCCTTGAGGAAGGCGCGACCAGCTGTCTCCATGGCCAACTTGGTGGCGACCTCCAGCTTGTTGGTGGTGATCTGATCACGCTGAAGTTGGGCTGCTGCTGCGACTTCGTCCGTCGGCCGTCCTTGCTCAATGTTTGCGAGACGGGTGTTGACGGAGTCGATCTGTTCCTTGAGGGAGTCGAACTTGGCGTGGATGTCTTTGGCGAAGCTGTCGAATAGCTTCTGCAAGTCGGAGGAGTTGCCGTTGTTACCCATGGCAGCGGTGTGGGGATCGAAGTGGTCTTCGGATACCAGGTGTAACATGTCGCTGGGGTGGTGGGGAGGGGCGACGGCTATGGAGGAGGCGGCTAGGGTTGGTGGCGCAGGGGAGAGGAGAGGGCGGCGGCAGGAGAAGGGAGAGAGGTAGAGGGAAGAGCAATTGCTCTATTCTTGCTTGATTACATCCTCCCTATATTTATAGTCCCTATAGGACCTGTATTCCAAGCAGCTAAGAGAGATATCCTTATAGATTGGATTCTCTTTCCTAACAAACCAATTCTAATCCTTTCTTTATTCTAACTAATCTTTCGTTTATTCTAACTTCCTCGGATACGGTGGCGGCGTAGAAGGCAGAGGGCGTCGGCGCCCTCCCCTGGCGCGCGCGACCCCACTAGGGGGCGCGGTGGAACCAGCCAGGGCCGGTCATCGCCCTTCCCTGGGCCTCGCTTGGATCCCATTAATTGAAACTTAGATAAATTGCCTGACAATTGCCTCGAGGACAATTTTCTTAGGACCTGTTTGGATCCCATTAATTGAAACTAATATCTAGAAAGTGCTTCTCATTTCATCACTAGATCACTTTCCAATTCCTCTCAGTTCCTGGAACCAGACAGGGCCTTAGTATTGTTTTTTTTGCTATATCAAATAAAATAGGTGTTGTCTAGTGCTCGTTCATTCATATGTATGTTGATGTTGTTTCCACGCAAACTTAGATAAATTGATTGATATGGATGGCATAGTATTGCGTCTATCATTGTTGTCTGAATTTACATGTTCTCCAAGTCCCTGAGAGACAGGCTTGTTTAATTTTTCAGCCATGATCTAATTTCGCAGCGTGAATAAAAAAACAAAAGGAAATGTCAAAGATGATACTTGCCCTCCTTTTACTGAATCATCATGTCACAGTTTTGGCATTGTCAATATAGTTCTCTTGCGCAATACTGTATGCATCAGGATAGTTTGATATTTCTAATTGTTCTCCTTTCGTGAACTTATTATTTCAGACCGCTCAGAGAAGTTCAATGTTCACCATGCATGATCTAGTGTACGACCTTGCAAGATCAGTCATGGATGAAGAGTTGATTGTCTATAACACTGACAAAGTGAGAAGTTTGGTGGACTCAAAGTATCGCCTCTATGCATCGGTCACAAATTGTTGCAAGCCATTGAGGATATCGACTATTTTACCAGCCAAGTTAAGGGCCTTGCTTTTCCAGAATTGCAGCAATCTGGGCATCACTGGTGGTTCCTTTTCATTTGCCAAGTGTTTGCGTGTACTGGACTTGACCGAGTCCTCCATCAGTAGGTTTCCATCATCTATTGGCCAGCTGAAGCATCTGAGGTTTCTTGTTGCTCCAGGGATGAAAAATCCGAGTTTCCCCAATTGTATTGCTGGGCTCTCAAAACTACAATACCTGAACATTCATGGATCTTCTCAGGTTTCACCAAGACCAGCATCACTTGGCAAACTTAGACATCTTATGTACCTTGACTTGTCAGGCTGTTCCGAGATAGTGGAACTGCCAAAAAGATCTCTTGAAAATCCCAAAAACCTGGTGCACCTTGAATTATCTACCTGCTCTGGACTTGTAAGGATATCAGAAGCATTGTGCTACCTCACCAAACTACAGTACTTAAATTTGTCAAGCTGCTCCAATCTTGAAAGGCTACCACAAGATGTAGGCAACCTGACAGAACTCCAGTACTTGTACTTGTCCGGTTGCCATAAAATTGATGCATTGCCAGAGTCTATTGGGAAGCTCATAAATTTGGTGCATCTAGATTTGTCACGATGCTCCTTTGTGATGCCAGAAGCATTAGGTGACCTCACCAAACTCAAGTATTTGAGCTTATCAGGGGTCCTTGATTATGACAGAAAAGCTGAGGAAACTATTGATAATATCAGCACCCTTGCAAACCTTGAGCATCTTGACTTGTCTTGGAATTATTTCAGATCTCTACCCAAAAGTATCGGTGATCTCAAGTGCCTACATACATTGGATCTCTCAGGCTGCAGAGAACTATCCTACCTACCTGACAGTATAGGCTCAATTGATAGTCTGGAGCTGCTGCTGGTGGACCAGTGCTCAGTGCAGTTGAAGGAGCACATCAGGAGATGGAGATCTGAGCTCAAATGTAACCCGTTAGTTCATTTTGTGGTTCGCCACAATGAAGATGGTTCTGGCAGCAATCTTCATCAGCTTGAGGATAAAAATCCTTCTGAGCTTGAAATAAGCTGCCTCGAGGCATTAACTGTTCGAGGAGAAGCAAGCGCAATTCAATTGCGCAATAAAGAAAACCTCTCGAGATTGGAACTTAAGTGGTCCTTTACGGCCCCTCATGGTTTAGAGGGCAAAGATGTCCTTGGAGAGCTAGCTCCACCAATTGGTCTTAAGCACTTGGTGCTGATTGGATATGGCAGCATAATCTTTCCAAACTGGCTCATGAACATTCCTCATTATCTCCCGAATCTTGTTTCTATTGTGTTCTGGGTACTACCGAGCTGTACAAGTCTGCCACCACTCGGGCAGTTACCAAACCTCAAAGATTTGTATCTTGGAAATTTGGAAAGCCTCACAAAAATCAGTGGTGATGATCTTTGTGCTGGCAAACGAGCATTCCCTCTGATGTCAAGACTCACCTTGAGTGGCATGAGTTCGTTGCAGGAGTGGAACACGACATACTGTGGCAAGGATGGTAGAGAGGAGTTCATGTTCCCTATGCTTCATGATCTGGTTATACAAAATTGCCCGAGGTTGAGGTTGAAGCCATGCCCACCTCTATTCCACAGGTGGCGAATCTTCCACAGCGATGAAGTGCTTAATTTCAGGGAAGAATGCGACAGATTGGCAGCACCAAGAACCAGTTTGGTGGTCTCCAGCCTTGGTTATTGTGGGAGCTGGTCGCTGCTGAGCCACTTATCTACCCTGGAAGAGCTGGATATCAAATATCTGACTGTGACCAGCTTGCCAGAGAGCATGAGACAGCTGGTCTCCCTTCGTTTGCTGGTGTTATTCTACTGTGAGAACATCATGTTACCTGAATGGCTTGGGGACCTAAAATCTCTCCAAAGCCTCCACATTAAGGGTTGCCTGACGATCAAGTCAATGCCATCATCTTTACAACAACTCACCAAGCTCCAACTGCTACATATTAGGAGCAACGCTGAACTAAAAAAATGGTGTCAATTGCAGAGGAAATGGAAGCTCGCCCACATCAAGGATATTGTAAGTGTTCTAACAAAACTCTCTTATGTTCGTTTATGGCATTTGAATGGCTAATAATAGTACGGTCTACTACCAAGGATTCACATTTTTCATGTAGGAGACAAAAGGAGTTTCTGGATAGAAGTTATAATCAACTTAATACGTGGATTAAAATATTGCAAAACTAATAAGGTTATAAATTAAAAATAAAAATTCAAAATCTAGATTCACTTGGAAGTCACGAAACATACTGTAACAATTAAGAGCTAGCATATGTTAAGGTATCAACTAAACAACATATTTTTGGACTAAAAACTTGTTATTAGTTGATGAATCCAAAATCTAGATTCACTTCAGAGTCACAAAACTAATAAGGTACAATATGAACTAACTAAGGGGGTGTTTGGATGGACTAAACTTTAGTCCATGTTTTGGATGCCAAATAGAAGACCTAAATATGAACTAATCATGGTCTAACAAAAACTAATACAGGCTAATTGATGAGTAGAACTCATTAGAAAAAAAGAACATTTTTAATTAGTCCACATTTAGCCTATTATCCAACGACGGACTAAGTTTTAGTCTAGTGATCCAAACAGGCCCTAAACTATATGGTTACTTAGTTGATGAATTTGTTGACTCAGCAGACGTACATCGATTTCGCTGATCCTGAGCCACATCACCTGTGATGGGCCCCACAGCGTCTGCCGTTGCGGCTGTCAACCGCAACCCAAGTGATCTATATGATTTTACAAATTTATAACTTGTTATTATTAGTTGAAGTCCAAGCCTTACCTTATTCCTCAAACAATTAGTCAAATCCTACAAGTCCGGCCAAGATTGTTCTCGTAAAGTTCGTGATTGCCCACTATCAGTGAGGAAACATAACTCTAGCTCTGAGGAGCGGCGGCGAGTGAACGGTACTCGGACGAGAGTGGCAGCCATCCCGATCGGGTGTGTAGGTAAGCATCTGTTCCTCACTTCCACTGCCAGATACTCCTATCTTTTTCTACACCATTGTTGCCTCCTCCAACTTGTTTGGGACCTAAAGGCTTTGTTGTTGATGTATTGTTGCCTCCTCCACCAATTAGATTTGATTTGAACTGCTCCCGTATTCCTAATTTCTACCTGGTTCGCCTGGCTTGATATATATTTTTTAATTTTATTCATATTCATGTTTTCACTCAAGGCTTATAGAATTTCTTCACAAAACCGGAGAGTGGATCCATGGTAATTGCACTGGTCTTGTACAAAAGAGATTACGGCTGTGGGGGGACACTGCAGAGAGCGGGCATCAGGTTATGTGTGGTTACTTGGCGTGGTAACTCTGTTGAAACAGGGGCAAATAGTGAGTACTTCTGCTGATTTAGATTTTGCACTTCTCCAAACTGGGGATAATCTCATGAACTCTTGCATTGTGATTAGGTCGAAAAACATTGCTATGAGGTTATGACTGCAGAAAGGAAGCAAAGGTCTGCTGGTCTATTGTTCCTGCGTGGCTTTGCCGCGCCATTCCGCTTTGATTGGCTAGTCCTGTAGTTCATATCGTTTGTCACTTGTTTGGCATGTGGGTGATCTCGTTCGTTTGTCCAGATTAAAGGCTTAGATTTAGGCGTAATGGTGTTGTTGGGACTACGGGTGATATTTGGACCGTTTTCGTGTTTTGGGTTGACATGAGATTGTTATGTTATGTTATGTTATGGTGTCACTTTTTTTTCATTGTTATGTTATGGTTAATAACGCATTTTGTTTCATTTTATTTATGTATTGCATGGTTACAATCATGATTATTGCTTAAATTTATGCCACTGTCCACTGCAACCTTAATTTACATTTTATAATTAAACTTTAACCAAACGGATGAATGTTAACTCCTTTTGCTTTTAACTTTTTCACTCAGTGCAATTTGAAGATTATTAACACAATACGATTTCTCTCGTTGCATATATACAAGAGAAGCGCCCCTATCTTAATCAGGCCGGCCCGTGCAGTCAATCCAGCCCACGATAACAGTGTCACACAAGGTCAATAAAAGGTCCGCCTCAAAACGCTCTTTGAGGGCCACTCACCTGGTCTAGGTTAAAAATTACCCATCTCCATCTGTTAGCCCATCACCTGCTCAATGAAAAGAAACTCTAAGTAGATCATGTAATGTTAGTCACAACAAACACCAACATTGTTCTAAAAAAAACCTCCAACGTTGTTATGTACTCGCAAGCTAGGAGACAGATATCATCCACGAGTCCACACTAGCGTTGATATATATACTCCTACCACAAATAGCTGTATTCATAATAATGACAACCACAAATCCAGTCACAATGACGAATCAACTATATTCATTTGACGGCACAGATGTCCAACGGGGTACTTATATGTTCTGAGAGGGCTTAGGGTAGCGATACCCACAGTGACCACATTACACACACATCACCAGGTATTGAGGTATAATAACAGTAAGTCTGCAAGAGAGAATTATTTCTCTAAAACATTAATTAGCTGGCTTCACCACAGACATCAGCAGAGTTCAGGGTCTGTACTATAAGCCTGTAACTACTAGTTGATCTTTTGTGCCTTCTCCAACTGTCCTTGCCTGTCAAAGAAACAGGACAACCTTTGGTTAGATTAGTAAGTGACATCAAGAACTCAGTATTCAACAATTCTGCAGGTGCAGCACCCACATATTCAGCAATACAACAAGCCTATCTTCTATCCTTTATACTAGCTGTATCACTTAAAACTAATAACATGGACCTTTGATACAACAGGTTACCAGCAACCACATTTATTTATCCATTTCACAACAATCATCATATGGAACTATCAACATGTTTACTTATACATAAAAGCTAGTGGTGCAGTAAGTTATTATCAACGTATCATTGAAAAAATAAGAGCAACAGGGACAAAACTTGTGCACCATGAAAGGATCTCTTAACACAAAAAGGGGGCAGACCCAGTGCCAGAGGCTCCCACATGAGTGGGGTCTACCACAACCAAATATATTTCCCAAAGAACTACTGCACAAATGCTGTAGAAACTGGATAAAAGTACTAAACATGGGCCTGAAATACTACCATGTATAATCAAACTAAGTTTTCCAACGATTTACTCAAACATAAAAGGCATCAATATGATATAGATAAAAAATTAATGCCCTTTATGTATTTGACAAAGGCAAACCAAGTTTTATTTCTGTTACCAACCAAATATAAAAGCATTATTACCACAATAATGTACAATAAACAGAACAGGATAGATACACAAAGGCCACGTGAAAATGCATGCTGATAAGTGGATTACACATGGCCCTTTTTTTCTTAGTAGACTTGCGTATCATCGCACTGGGAAAAAAATTAGCAACCCGCCCTTTCCTACGCCACCCCTCAGCTAGGAACATAATGCATGTGTGCATTTAAAAGAATAAACAAACGGCCGAACCAAACACTAAATGGACCAGCCAATTATCTGGAAGTAATCTCCATATGGGTTAAATCTCTAACGTCAGCAAGACACCAGAGGTGTGCCTCCTCCAAAATTAGTCCAAGAACAAGCTGAATGCGAGGGATAGTCCCATTGAACACATAGTCATTGTGGCGATTCCACAAAGTAAATGCCCCCAAGGTTAGCAAGGAGTTGAGACATCTTTATTATGTCCCTGGGCACCAAGGCAAACAATCCCCAACCACCAGCCATAGCTCCTTGTCTTCAGGGATAGATGAAAATTTCGGCAAAGCATATCAATGTATTTGGATTTACACGTGGCCTACAACTGGGTTCAACTACACATAATTTCCAAAAAAAAAGTACTTTCAAATACTTTTCAACCTCTAGCAGATTTTATGCTAATGTTCACATTAAATCTATTGTTCAATAACTGCCTATTCAAGCAGGTTTCACAATCATCAGATACTGATTTATGCCACTAAAGGAGCTGTTAACATACTAATAAGAGGCGAAGAAAGCACAACTATGTACAGAACAGCATCTTCGTTATAGAAAAGTTAATATGACACATGAACACAAGATGGCCAGAGAAAGTTGTGTACCTCAGATATCGCAGTGTTGTGCCTTGCGCGGCATCACCACCCTACTTGCTCCCCCAGAGTTTCAGCGCAAAACTGGGTATAATGATAAAGCAATACATTGACATGGCACCCAATACCCCCACATCAGAGAGCGCATAACCAATCCTTTCCCTGTGAGATTCCTCCACTGGTAAAAGCCCCACAAACACCAGAACACTTGCTCCAAGCAGCAGGATGAAAAGGAAAGATGCGAGCCACGCAAGCACGATAGGGTCCTGAAGCGCCTTCCACGTTAACGCTCCAAACATCTGACAAGGATGACCAAGAGCAAGTCAGCAAGAGCAAGCAAACCCAGTCAGTTTTCCTCGAGTGAAATTATCATATGGATTGGATTTGTATACATGTTTCAATATGAAACTGGAAAGATGCAAATGCACTGACAAAAATATAGCGCACAGATTAAATTTTCTCTAGAGAAACTAATACAGCGTAACTGAAAGCAGCTCCGGCATCCACACCCCATATAGAGACCTGATGAGGACGACTTGGAGCAAACTAAAGTAATGGTTTCATTTTTAGTTCACACGACCATATTGAGAGGATATGTATGATTATTCTCTGAAATTGGACAGATTCAGATTAATTCTCCTTTGAGGAAATAACAACACAGTCTAAAATCGAAGGCGCGGGCGTGTATACAGTATCTGATTCCATCAACACACAGAATTAGAGCCTAGCGAGCCACTAGTATATACATCTACTCGTAAAACCAAAACTCAATCGAATACCTTCCTGGCTTGGATCTGAATCTCCCTGGCGTGGGTGCGGAGCGACCGTCTGAACCCCGCCGCAAGCATGGCGCGCAAGACCCGCACGGCGAAGACGAGGATGAGCAGCGCGGGGAACACGAGGGCTCCGATCGAGACCTTGAGGAACGCCCAGACCACCGGCGAAGAGTCGCCCAAGGCCCGGCGCGCGACGGTCGCGGCGGCCACGCCCGCGCAGGCGACCCACGCGCTCGCGAGGTACAGGTACTGGAGCACTCTCGGCACCACCGCCGGCTCCCGCGTCGCCGCCGCCGCCGGCGGCGGCGGCTGCTGCGGGGGAACCTCAATCGCCACTTCGGCGACGGCCATCGGAGCGGCGAGCGGGGGAGGAAATGGAAACCGTAGGTTGTTGAAGCTCCAGTCGCTGTGGTTTGAGGACTGGACTCTGGAGTCTGGAGTCTGGAGCGAGGGGAAAGTGGGATGGGAAGGGGAAGGGGATAGCGACGAACACGGAAGGGGATTTAACACGTGTCGGGTTCTGGTTCGTTCCGAGCGACCGAATGATTTTGGGGGCAGTTTGCTAGTGGGAAACCACTGTGAACGAGTCTTTCGGACTTTGACCAACAACATTTTATTGTAAAAAGTATTTATTATAATGTGTTATTGCATTTATAATTTTTATGATTTTAATTTGTATTATATAATGATATACTAATATAATAGTTTGGTTAAAGCATTGTCTAGAAACTAAATAAGCCTATTATACAAATATTATATTTGCCATGTCAAGGAAAACGCTTCAATATATTTGTCTAGAAACAGAGAAATGCAAGAAGCCCAAGCACTAAAAGAGAAACTAATCAAACCTGGTTAGTTTTGGTGCCTGACCAAAAAGCACTCGGCGTGTTAAACATTAGTTTTCAAATTAAAAAAAACCAAAGACCAAGTCTCACCAAATGTAACAGTGCCCACCCAAAAGAAACAGAGCAATGCATGCTTCAATGTGAAAACAGAAAATGTGCAAATGCACTCATATATATAGCCCATAAATTAAATATTCTCCGGAACATAGCGCAACTGAAAATCAAAGCAACTCCCAACTCGAAAGCACATACAAGTATACAACTGATGCGGCGAGCCAAATCAACCCCTGAATTGACGCTCGCCCCATAACACAACTGAAAGTATGCTCAATCACACGTGGACATTCTCAGATGACATGAGCATATGGTTAGGACAGGTATGATTTAATTTGAAGTTGTACCAATACAGATGCCCATGCCCTAACAAATTTCATACCAATTGGATCAAATGGACCGAAATTGGTTGGAGATGATTCAAGATACAACTGGCTACTTTGTACAGATTGGTGTACCTATATATATGTGGGGGTCATGTTAAAAGCTAGACCCTAGAATTAAAAACCTCGTGTTCACACCTTAATGTTTTGAGAAATTAACCAAAATTAGTCGAAGATGATTCAGTATGACAACCGGCTCCTTTGTGAAGATTGGTGTTGCTATATATATATACATGTGGGGCCCATGAGAAAAGCTAGATGTTATGTTCACACCATAAAATCTTAATGAAATTGATTAAAATTTGTTGAAGTTGATTTAGTAGGGCATATGTCTACTCTGTGTATATTGGGGTGGCTATATATACAAAAATTTGAGATTCCTTTGGAGTACTTAAATATCAATATCCTCTTGAGGTTAACCACTACCCGATCCTAGATCTCAATTCAAGATCTACCACCTATCTTAAATGATATGGTGCATGTCTTAAATGATTGTTTATATCATCATAGTACTTAAGAGCGCAGAGTAAAATCTATGACCTAAAATCCTCATTTTTGAAAGGGAGGAGTGTGGTAGAACCACCTAAATTATGCTGGCCCACATGTACCCGTCATTGTCAAGACATATGACTGTTGTACACGAAAGCCAGATAATCCGGTAGTCTTCGGGTGTCCTCGGGGAACCCCGAATCATCCACATTTTACAACTCATACATGATCAACAATGGAGTTACCACAACATTACAACATTTGGTACAAAAATAATATACATCGGAGTGTGAAAGACTTATAACATTAGTTTACAAAACATGTTTAAGAAAAACTTAACTTTAGATCCAAAAGGTGAATAGGACAGCGGAAGCAAATTAGAAGAAGCACCTAAGGTAGAAGAGACATCCAGATCATGTCAAGCCCACCGATATGACATTGATTAGCAGCACAAGTCAGAACCTGTAACAGGGGTTTAACAAACCCTGAGTACTGAATTGTACTCCGCAAGACTTACCTATTGAAAATAAAAGACTCCAAGGATATGCAGGCTTAAGGTAGTTTGGCAAGATGCAAAATACTTTGCGAAAAAGCTTACTACAAGTGGATCCTTACTTTCAACTTTTAGTTTCAAACTTAAGTCGTTATTAGTATCCGGTTTGCACCTGATCTAAATCAATCGCTCCTTAAAGTATCCCACCTCATTTCATCTCATATCCATAAGTAACCATGTTCCATTGATTTACTATGATGCAGAGCAGTGATCAAGTATCTCACTATCCGGGAGAGGGCGATTCGAATCGATGTACATCCAGATGGAGTAAACCTTAACCAGCACGATATATGTAGGTCCCGGACCTACATATATCAACCATTCCCTCGGATCCTCCAAAACATGAACGGGTTCGTGCCACCCGAGAGCACAGTACTCCACCGCCCTGCTCCGTCCCGGACGGTTATCTCGCGGGGTGGGTACACGCTACTCTCGCCATCTCTCCACTCCCAGTGCACGGTTGTCCTTTGGCATAATGGAATAGTCGAGGTACTCAGGCTTACCGAGGGCATGCAGTTAAGTACTTTCAATCTTGATCAGCAAGTCTACAATCGGAACGGTCCTTAATCGACACAGGCGGAGCACTACATCAAGACTCCATTCTTGATGCAAGCTAACACCCGCCCGGGCTCATATTAACCATGTCTCATGTTCCATTAATTTATTTCTGAGAAAAGAAAATATTGGTTCGAACGATGAACTCATCGTCCGACTTCTAGAAGCTAAGCAAGGCTAAGCATCTCTAGCCTATAACTACTAAAGGGTAACAAGGAAAGTATTGAAATATCAAGGTAGGCATGCAGCAATTGGTACTTCAACCAATTCCTATATCACTTAATGTACATATTATAGGACTCGAATTATAAAAGTATTTGTAAATACAAGGAACGGTTTGGATGCTCCGGGGCTTGCCTGTGTTGCAGGGAAAGTCAGGATCACAGAAGGATCACCGAAGTCAAACTTGGCACCAACACCATTGGTAGATGAACCTTCTCCGAAGCTTGTCTACAAGAACCTTCTCACTCTCGTTTACTATACGTAAATAAAGGATGCATGCTTAACATGATGGAATGCATGACATGATGCATGATGGAACACATAAGTGCATGTATGAACTCAAACATAGCTAATAAACTTGAGTACAACTTTCCTTCACTAAAAACTAGGGTTCATTTTTATTAAAAAGGCACTTAATTATTATTTAAACAAGTTGATTATGAGCACATCAAGAAAGTACTTAAGTTGCCAAGGAACAGCAGGGGTGTTTGTGTTCCAAGGTTTACAATCAAAGTATAAAACACACCAAAGTCAATTAAGTATTTATATAAATCATTTTGATATTTATAAATCATGGAAAAAGACATACACTTAAATTAATCAATCAAATCAACTAATTCAAAACAGTACCATAATTTTTTTGAAGACAGGTATTAACATTTTAAGCATACTCAAAAAGTTTCATTATCACAGGATTAATATTTTTGCTTACAAAAATTATGCAACAAGCATTTTTCCATTAATTGAGTGAATTTTCAAGCATACAAAAATTACTGTTTTTGATCAACTCATATTTTTTCTAGGTAGAGCACATCATGACAAGGCCACACAAAAATTTTCATAATTTTATCGTACTTCTATAATTATTTATGAAATTCACAAGTTTCAGCTGAAAATATAAAAACGAAATTTATAAAAATTGCAAAAATGACACTCGAAAGATTGACTCCTTGATTACGATGACACTCGGGTAGATGACAAGTGGGTCCATCTGTGTCTATGAATGTGGGTCCAGTGTCAAATCTGCAAACGACCGATGTTTCGAGTCCCATTTTTGCAAATCGCCCCGCCTCGCGCACGGCCGCGTGTCCACACGCGCGAAACGGCGCGACTCCGCTGGGTGCTGCCGCTCGCTGCTCGGCCGCTCCCGGCTTGCCCCCCTGCTCGCGAGCGCCCAGCCCAATGATTGTCAGCAAGCATTGCATAATGCAGACTGAGCATTGCATAATGCAGACTGAGTTAAAATGCATCAGTCTAGAAAAAAAAAAATGCTTGCATCAATATCAGTTAAGGCCACGTGAGGTATGGAGTGTTGTTCTGAGAAAATTCTGTAAAGCAATACCAAAGAACTGATGTGTGTTTGTCAGGAATATAACGAAAGAGTGAAAGCATCTCCCAGGCTCTATAACGAAAGGGGCTTATATGGCCATCGCAGTTTAGTAAATCAACTTCTTCAGAATTTGTCAGGAATACTGAAAACTGTCCATCATATTGCTCTATTGCCCCTTTCACTCGCATGGATGGATGGAACAAGAGAGAGTGCCTATTTTAAGATGGCAGGCAACTGAAGTTAAGATGGCATGTAATTTGCGGTTACCACACTATCAGTGCTGCGCCCCTGAACCTGATAGTGTCCTGACAGGATATCAGGGGCAGGACTTCTTTTGGCGAAAAGTTGTCCCTATGACCACTGACTAGGCAAAGGACCATTTCTGTCTGATCTTGAGGCCCTTTCCCCTGATGAACTGTCGCTTAAGAATCTGAACCTTAGTGCCCAGGAAGATGAAAATGCCTGATCAGTGCCAATTCTACATCCATAATTGATTAGAAGTGGTTTAATGCCATTTTGGGCTGGCCCTGCCTCAAAAGTTTTAATCTTAAATTATGCACAAACTTATAAATTAGGAGTGACCTGTCCAAACTTATAAATTAGCATAGTTATTGAATTTGTGGACAATGGGTGTAATACAATAACCATTATATGTATCGTGGCAATAATCATTAAATTTAGTTCTTCTATTTTTTTCTCTCAAGGGGACCTGTTTGCTGTTTTGCTAAGAATCCAGAATTGTCAGTCATTTGGTGGTAACATCGGGACATTGCTGCTCATGTATTTATACGAAAATTGTTCCTTCTGATGTCTCTCTGATAGGAGGGAAAATGGTTGGGAGGGAGGACTGCAGACTTCACCTGAAAAATTCTATATTGGCAGGCTTAATGTAGGCATAGCATTCTTCAGACTCTGAATATAACTCAAGAACACTGGTTTGGCAATTGTGTTGACTGACCACTCAAGTAAATGGACGGTGAATCTTTGGTAGGGTGCATTAGGTCTAGGAATGCCACCAACCTATCATTTAGCAACAAAAAAAAAAGCAGACCCTATAAGTAAGAGACTGTATGGTGTAAGTAATTTACGCTTGGCTGTATAGCACAGCATGCCTCAAGTAATTTAGATTTGGCAATGGACCGTGAATCTTTTCCCCTTTTTTTAACATTACAGTATGCCTCCTGTAATTAGTCGAGCCAGAACAAATAATGTTTCTTTTTGATTAACTGATGCAAAAGGACATTCCAAATTCCATCTTACCCAACAATGTGGTTTTCTGATAATCCAATGATACTACAGATGCTGATGTGATACTCTGATGGAAATCCTATTTTTTTTATTATCTTTGATAGTTCTGTTTTTTTTTTTGAAAAAAGTGTTGTTCAGAGAAACTGTTGTGTTTTTATTAATCCTGTCTGATGGAATATTTATTAGAAATTGGTATCTGGTTACACGTCATTTGACCTCGTGGTGTTCATATAAGAGGTTTGTGATTGTAAAAACCTGTAAAGGGATCGAGTAGAGAGAAGATCAAGTCAGGCCATCCAGCATTGGCCAACAACGAGGTGCAGACCAAACAAACACTTAAGGAGATTTCTCAGTACATTGGACTGTAGATAACTCATGTTTATTCCAGTCATGTTTTAAAGATATCCAGATTAGAGAGCACTGATATGCTACACAAAACCTGCTTCATAAGTCTATGTGATGTGGTTATGTTCATATAAATAGAATTTCTTATTTAGTGTATACATAGTTGCTGAAAAAGGCAGGATATCTTTCATCATGTTGGTCAATGATTCCTGACAATCCTAGCCATCTCAACAGCCATCCTGACTTATCTTTTTAGTCTCAATTTGCACCAGTGCATAGAAAAACAATATGAGGTCAACTAGAACCATTGGTTTAACGGTTCATGTTATTTGCTCTACTTGTTCATCTAACTGATAGAGATCCTATAATCATGTGTCCATGGATCACTTTGTCCTTCAGTACTTAGTTGTTACAACCTGGCCATGTCTCTTCCTATTTTAGATTAATACAATGCAAAATAGTGGTTCCCGAGCGCCATTGGGAGACAAGACTAACACAACTAAAGAAGGTTACAGAATGCAACATGCTATCGAATATTCCATTGTGTTTCCTATGTATATGTTATATCGATTTTTTTTAAACTATCACCAGTTGATGCTAAAGACCAAGAACAGAGGGCTCGATGGCATGCAATGTATAAAAAAATAAGCATCAAGTTACCGAAGCTACCAATAAAAAAATAAGCACTTATTTTGACATTGTTACTAAATTTGACGCTTATTTATTTGAATGTGGCTCGAAACAGTATGTTGCTAAGCCAAGTTAAAATTTATTTGTCTTCATTTCAACCCACTATTTTTTGATACTCTTATTGCGTTGAAAATTTGAGGCTCCTAACCTACTATTTTTTTTCTTACTTTTATTGTGTTGAATTGCATTCAAAATTTTAAGGTTCCTGTAGCAATGCACGGGCATATGCTAGTTTTTTTTAAAAAAAAAAGGTAGTTTAGTGGTGGTCACGGGGCTTAGGCCAGCCATGAGCTTAGGGTGTTGGAACTAAACACCAATGAGACGCCCAGAAATCCAATCATCTTATTCTTTATCCTCTATTTTCCTTCTCATTTAGTATGCCCCCCTTTGGCACGACTCCAGCTCCGGCTCCTTGTAAGGTGTCCTGCCAAACGACATCTAAAAGACGGCTCCTTGCAAGGTGCCCGGAAGATCTAGAGCCGTTTTTGTACTAAGAAGCCGGAGCAAAAAAAGTGGCTTCTCCCGGTTCCTCCTCAAAAACTATAAATTATTATAAAACTGGCACTGGAACCATTTTTACCAAATGTTTTCCAACACGGCTTTAGCTCCACTAGAGGTGCTGCTCCACAAGAGCCGGAGTTGGATCCCTTTTATGAGGAGCCGGTGCGAAACTAACCTTAAATCCATGCAACCAACATGCAACCAACTTCTCCTTCAATCAAAAACAACTAGCAGTAGCTCCCATCAATCTAGCACTCAACATCCTTGCTCAATCCTAATCAGTGCTGCTACCACTTTCCTTTCTCTTTGCTCCAATCTAATCCATGCAAAGCAAGAGTAGCTTGGGGCTAGGAGTGAAGCTCCACCAGCAAGTAATCAATGCCAGCCCTAGCCATCACACAATCCACCGAGAAATTGAGTGCAGGGGCCGAGAGCTGGCCTCCGATGGCCTTGGCTTCAATCTGTAGCCACAGCCGTGTGCTCTTAACCTTGCCAGAGGCATGCCATCCCATCGATTGCATCTTCAAGATGTCGTCGAAAAGACCACCACCAATAGAAACTCTGTGTGGCCTCCTCTTGATCCTCCACCATTCACCGAAGTTGCCCTCCTTGGAGCACCATTTTCGTCCGTTGAGTGGTGTGCCACTATTGTCATACAGCAGCTCTCAATGAAATAAAACTGTCATCAAAGGGGTGTCGTGGACAAATATGTCCACCTTACAAAGTTGAATGGCCAAAGATTTCTGGTTTTGGAGTTCAGGGACTGCAACCAAACTCCAATGATAGTTTGATGGCCAAAATGGAGTTCTCCCTTTTTAAAAAGTACAAAAGAAGAGTTAAGAAAAGATAGAATAAGTGCACAAGTTTCAACTAAACTTGAGATGAAAAGGCTATTGCAGTTAATAAGATTAAAATTTGAAAATCACAATTTAGGTCCATGACATTATAATGTATATATGTTGCAACAAAAGCCATCATAGTTTAAGCTAAGATTTTAACTAAATACACATTAAATAAGATGCATAAAGAAAAAAACTATGGATATACATAATACATAGAAAAACATGGCAACACCACAACAAATCAAGTTTATGGCATCATAGTAATCGATAAGTTTATAGGTATCTATTATGTCTATTGTGTTAGAAAATGAAAAATGTGCAATTTAATATAAGTAATTTTTATTAGTCTGTGTTGGTGACAGACAGAGTGGACTAAAGACAATTGTGTATTCATTTCATGTCTATTACTGTACATGTCAGGGGTATATATAAAGGACGGAATCTTTGAATATACCACTAGATTCCCTTTTTTTACCCCTAATCTTTGTAATACATTCATCATCTCCAATACAATGTTTTATGAGGTTACATCAGTCATTCTTACAAACAATTACATCTCGTGTTTACAATTGTCGTGATTGAAGGACTTCATGGAGACTTCATTAGTCTTTGTACAACTAGTCTTCATATCTCAAGTCTTCATGTGACCACCCATCTTCATTTCCAATAATGTCCCTCTTCCAGGTCTTCGTCTTGCAATCGGCTTTGCCAAATTAAGGATGCTTCTTCCAAGTCTATTCCGAAGGTCACTTTTTCTCTGTGAAGCTCCAACTCCAAAGGTTATACCTCTGCAAATTGACATTGATTATCCAAAAGTTCCATTATCAATAAAGGAGGGACTGTTCTCCAAGGTCGAAACCTCAACAGTTAGATGTATTAAACATAACCAATGCTTATGTCTCCTAAATTCCTAGCCTGCGTGAGATTTAATGAGGCCGAGAGTTGGGTTGATGGACTACATATATTGTTACTTAAATAGATGGAGGCATGTTAAGAATTGTGATCTATCCACAAACTTTAGATAAGCAAGCACCTGGCCTCGTTACATAGAAGCAACGGTAAAGCGAAACCCAGCACGTCCAAATTGAGAGCTGCTCAAGCTGCTTCTGCGGCAATCGATACGTACATCATTTCCCACATCGCAGCGCATTCCAATCACGGATCGGCGGCTGCTTGCCACGCCTTCTCCACGCGCACCGCCGCAACAGCACCTGCGTGTACCTGCTTGCCTCCCCTACTTCTCTGCTCTCACCCGGCATAGCCGTCGACGCCAGTGACTACCAATTCTGCACCATGACAATCTAACAACCACTCTCAACTTCTCAAGTATCGCTCGGTTCCTCACAAGCCTGCTTCCCTGCTACTACAAGTCTATACAACCCCGTGTAACACCACATCCAAAGATCAAGGACGCCTCGACCCCCACAACAAACATTCGTTTTGTGCATTGGCGGGCAGCGGCACCACCACTGCAGCATTGCCACCACTGCCATTGCCACCACTTGCTTGGCTCTGACACAATGTAGGGTTACGAAAAAAAATAGCATCTCACTCTATTGCTTATCTTCTCGTATACACCCTCCGTTCTGTAATATTGTGGAATCTCCTTTGTTGCATAATATACACACATGCCCAACAACATAAAATGGTGAAAACAAAGGAGATTCCATAATCATTCATCAAGAAATAAATGCATATGGGATCACTTCTGTCCGGATAGGGTAAAGCCACAACAGCGACCATATTCCACATTAACAATCTCAGTCCCAGGATACGAATTCTAGCAATACATATACAGCGCACCATCGAATTTTGCAAGAGGAAGTTGTACAGGCATGCATTGGGTATCATCCTAGACACACAACTTGGTAGTGTAGTTCATAGCTATAGGGAATCAAAATCTTGTAGCCCCAATAACATGTCTACTCTAATTATTTCAGTATAACCGCAAACTTTGAGAGCTGTCAGGCTCATGTGTTGCAGCCACTTAAGCATTCTTCGATGCCATTTCTCCTTACAGCCACTGTCTGTTAATAAAACAGAGTACATGTCGGTCAGCACAGTTCTTGTATCTCAACTTAATAACAGATAACATGCATATGTCAAATCATTCAATTTCTTACTGTTGCAATTGTAGCTGTTCAAAGGATGTTTTAATTAAAACTTACAGCTACTAATATGAACCTTAAATGCCAGAGTGTACCACCAACCACATGCAATTTGTTTTTAAGCAACCATGCTATGAAACTATTTCACCTAGTATAATTTGTATTTGTGCAATAGGTCATCATTGATAGTTGAGGGAAATACGAGCAGCAGGAAAAAAATCTCCGAATGATGAGATGGTCTCGTCAAAACAACTAATGAAACATGCTTTAAAAGTCACTTTAACCAAAATGCAGTGGCACAGCAGCACAAACAAGAAGAGAACTAACTAAGTGGGCAAAGTTGAGCCTGCTTACTCACATATTTACTTATTCACACAATTGAATTGACACTTTAGTTCTTTTACCAAAATAGAAAAGCAGCAAAAATTAAGTTTGTATACTAAAAAAGAACAGGGTATGCAGATTTGCAGAGAGAACACATGAACAAGCGGCTATGTGGAGAACAGGGTCAACCCTTCAAAATAAATTTTATACAATGGCATCAATGGAAAAATTATCAATGACAGACAGCAGACTTTAGAGCAGAAATACTTGCAAACATTAAACACTAATGTGGTAATCCAACTAGTTTCCCAGTTACAAAGTTCATGGTGATGGCTGTGCCTAACCAGTTATTTATATGCTTCCTAATACAGATAATACAAGATTTGATCATTTTGCATTCTCTCGGGATGGTACGCTTCTTGTTGCATTGGGACAATTGACCACAAGAAACAGATCAATGCTAGTGCACACAAACACGTAAAAGCTAGATGTGCAAGTGGGTTTTGCAGTTAAGAGTAATGCACACAAAACATCATGTTGACGATAGAAAATATGTACTAGTTTGTACTACGCCACATTAACAAAAGTATAGCCAGAGAGTGAAGGGTGCAGAGACCTCAGACTATGTTGTCAGCAGGTGCATCGCCTTCGATGCCGGGCGACATCCTCCACAGCTTAAGTGTCAAACTGGGTATGGTGACAGTGCAAGAAAGCACCATGGAACCCATGATCCCCTCCTCACCATCAGAGATCCCTTGGCTGGTGACAGGGCGATCAGCACCAAACAACCAACAAGGCTGAGCAGGAGGAAAGCTAGAGACGCGAGCCATCCGATCAGAGCAGTGTCACCCAGCATGCTCCCCATTGACTCTCGAGGTATCTGATGAGGACAAGCATTTCCAGGTGGTCAGGCAGGCCAATGAAACACAAAACAGTTTCAGCGATCACAGGCACGCATGGATTCCAAACTTCCAATACAGTCTAGACTCGCCAGTATTGGTTAATCGAGTACAATAATCCAGTAGGATTAATTAGGATCAACAAATTTGAAAGCAAGTTGAATTTATGTGGCGTTACCTTGTCGATCCCCATCCCCATGTCGACTCCGAGATCCGTGACGACCAATCGCAAGGCGGCGCGCAGTAGCTGCAGGAGGACGACGAGGGCGAGGAGCGCGCCGAAGAGGACGGCATCGGTTGAGAGCTCGAGCAGCGCGCTGAACACCGGGAAGCCCATGCCATAGGCGCCGCCTGCCAAGGTCAAGTCGATGAAGGCCGCGGCGGCCACGCCCGCGCCGCCGACCCACATGCTGGCAAAGCATAATTAGGTCAGCGCTTTGGCCGCGGCGCAGTCGGGGCGCTCCAGCCCTGGAACCGGCGGCGGCGAGGCCTTGGCTGCGCCGCCCGCGACGGCGACCGTCATGGGAGCCGGGGAGAGGGAAACCCTAGGTTCGTTGTAGACGCTTCTTCTCGACGGCAGTGGACGCGGAGTGGTTTTGGGGAAAGGAAATGGGGGTCGGTGGAGTGCGGGGATTTGCGAGGAACACGGGAAAGGGATTTAACGTCTAGTATAGCCGTGAAACAGGCCGTCAGGAGAGATGGAAACGGCGTGCGTCCGGTCGGTCTTTACACACATCTTGCGTTTGGGTTCGGCCTCATTAATCACACGGCGTGCAGAATATCAGATGCCGCGTAGAATATTTTTCCGGTAAAATATATGACAAATCATTTATAATAGGAAACAAAGAAAATGTATCTTGTATTGACAGGATTATCCTAATTTGTGTCACAAAATCCTATGTTTGGGTTCACTCTCATAGACATTACATATGGGAGTATGATACTATTTATTGTAGACTATACTTTCACTAAGGCAGTTTTAATGGGAGTTTCATAAAGAGTTTCATAGGTAATGCTGCTTATAGGTCGTCCGTCCGGACAGGCCCCGTATAAGTCGCTCGCTCGCTTTGTGACGAGATCCTAATATATAGGTATGTTAAGCCTCAGGTTTAATGGTTTCCGAACGAAGTAGATCCCCCGACTGATCCATTGAGAATCGCCTGGGGCTCAGGGGCTATGTCCATACACTACACCACAACACCATATCACCGTCAGACATCTGACGCTAAATTTCTTTTTTATCGATGGATGATCTGACGCTAAAGATAACTCACAGACAATCTGACGCTAATTCTCCATTTAGAGATTAACTGTTTGTCGCTATAGGTAATTATTTTTAATGTCGAACTATCTGTCGCTAAAAACAGGTATAGCATCAATCCGTCTGTCACTAAAAAAAAGGGCCCCACCTTGCTCACGCGCCCACTTACATTCAGCCCTCGCGCGTAAATTTTGGCCTGGCCCATGAGTACAGAAACCCTAGACCCTTCTCTTCCAAATCCCAAATCTAGAGAAAGAGGCGCCGCCAGCTATTCTCGTCTTCCACCTGCCTGCGCGCCGTCGCCCTCAAATCGCGCGCTCTCCCTCCCAAATCCCGCCCGCCCGCCCCAAATCTCCTGCCCGTTGTCGCCCCTCTAGCTCGCTCCCAAATCCCAGCCCGTCCTGCCCCCAATCTACCACTACTGGAATCTCGCTTTTTTCTGTAGGTGATGAATTTTTCTATGCGTTTTTCTCGACACGCACAGAAAAATTATGATTTTTCTGTCGGTTCCAAAATATATCGACAGAAAAATATGAAAACCCACAGAAAAATTGCGTGACAATATACTACTGTAAAAAATCATCACTCACGAGAAAAATACAATTTATTGTGTCGGTTCTTTAAAAAACGACGGAAAAAAAATGTACGCATACGAAAAATCCAAACCCTAATCCGTGGCGCCCCAAACACCCTCTCTCGCTGCGATGAGACCCGCCCCCCTCACTCTCTCTTTTGGTGCCGCGCCCCTCCCTCTGCATGACTCGGTGGCAGGGGCTCCTCCCCTCCTCGGCAGCCGCCGCCGCTCCTCCCTCCTCCCTCTCCCTCTTCATCGACCCGTGGCGTGGCCCCTCTCCTTCACCCCCGACGCCGGATCCGTCTCCTTCTTCACCCTTCACCCGAAAGCGGCAGATCCGGATCCGTCGCCCTTGCCGCCCGACCGAAAGCAGATCCGCACCTCCCATTCTTCTCCCCCTTGGCGCCCTCCCTCCCCCCCCTTCTTCACCCGGCGCCCCTCCCTCCCTCCTCTCTTCCACCGTCCACGGCGGCCACCCCTCCTCTCTTCCACCGTCGCGGCCCCCCCCTCCTCCATCGGTGAGGTCACCACCCCTCCTCCACTACAACTCCTCGCCTCCCTTCCCTCGGAAGAGGCGGCGGTGGCTGCCCGTGCAAGGCCGGATGGCGGCACCTCCTCCCAGATCGCCTCCTGCCGCACCAAGGAGCTTCGCCGCCCGCCGCCCCAGATCTGCCTCCCCCTCCTCTCTTCCACCGTCGCGGCGGCCACCGTTGCCCCCAGATCTTGTGCGGGAGATCTTGTCGTCCTTGGGACTGGGCTAGGGTTACTGTCCCCATTTCGCGCCTCTCCTTCCTCCTCTGGTTTGGTGCGCTCTCTCCTCTTCCTCCCCATCGAGCTCGCTTGACCTATACGGTCAACCTCCACCGCGGATTCGTGTTGGTCCTCGATTGTTCACAAAGTATATCTCACCGCCCTCATCTCCGCCCCCTCTACATGCGGTGATTTATGTTGTTGAATCATTTGTGGATTTTGTTTGTCGTCCACTGATATTAGGGTTCATGTTCTTAAATACTTATATCTGGGCGACATTTTTGTTGATCTACATGTTTACATTTGCTTTCGTCTTGTTCCGCCCTCAGATCTGTGTGATGTGCACCTCTTATTTGTTGTACACATGTGTTGTCGCCTAGATTTTGCACATGATGATGCCTTGTCCGATTTACAAACTGAGCAAAGTGCCTTGGTCGATGATGTTTACTTAACCCTAGGCACTGGAGGAGCACCCTATGGTGTGGCGGTACGCGTCTTGCTTAAGTCCATAGCTCTGATTCTAGTGAGGGTTCTTTGTGCTGAAGCATCTAGAATTTATGACACTGATGTTCAATCTCTTGATATGACTGTGATGTTCAAACTCTTGATATCTATTTGGCCAATGATGCAACATAAAAAATAAACTCTGAGGTGGCTGCAATTTAGTTTTTGTGCATTCTGTATGATTCTCATGACTGTCATCAAACCATGGGACATGATCTTAGTTTTCTTCTATCTATTTTTTTGCCTTGGCAGCCACCTATGATTGAGTATATGGAAATTGTACCAACATATCGTTAAGCTGAGGCCTCACTTACTTTGCCAATGATGATATCATATTAAGCATGCCAAGAACTAATGACCTTGAGCTTGTGTTGAGGTCAGTGGTTTTGCGTGCTAATCTACGCTGACTGTTTAAGACTGAGACTTTGAGTAATGCATACCTTACTGATTTTGAATTGGCCTGACATTGTTCCAACCTTTTCAGAGTCTAAGATTGGCACTTGATTTCTCAACTTTTGATGACCCCAACTGTAAAATAAGTAGTAAGAACCGACTGCTTGCACTTGATAAATATGAGCTTATTTTATTGCCATATAACAATCTGATTTGAATATGTATGATTCACTTGCAAGGTGGTTAGCAATGTCAAATGGCATGTTTAGAAACTTATTTTATTCACTTGCAAGAGTATGTTAGATTGACAATACTACTATGCTTATGTGTCTACATGCCTATCCTGCTGAAATCCCTTATTTCTTAGCAATAAATTGGATGTTTTTTTTATGAAATCGCTGATTGGCGTAGCACCTCAAAGTGTGATTCTCTCAACATTTGACTTCAATAGGATGCCCTCTGATTTGTATCATAGCTGTCTTTAGTGTTTTTCTTAGTGTATGGTAGATGTGCTGATACAAGCATTGCTGATATAAACCATGCAGTCTAGTGTTCATGCTGTTGTACTTTATGCTAGTATATAACTGATTTGTCCCTTTGCACTGCCTTACTTTCTCGAGCCTTCTCGTGCTAATTATTTGTTGAAGGCAATGCTTAATTCAATATATTTGTAAAAGCTGGGTCCTTTAGATGGTGCTTTTGTTGTAACATAGGAATATTATGGGTTCAACTTCTCACACGGAATATTATGGGTTCAATTTCTAGAAGAATGTTCTTCTCCTCTATTGTTAGTTCAAACCGTTGTCTTGGTCGATGATGTTTACTTAACCCTAGGCGCTGGAGGAGCACCCTATGGTGTGGCAGCCGCATCTTGCTTAAGTCCATAGCTCTGATTCTAGTGAGGGTTCTTTGTGCTGAAGCATCTAGAATTTATGACACTGATGTTCAATCTCTTGATATGACTGTGATGTTCAAACTCTTGATATCTATTTGGCCAATGATGCAACATGAAAAATAATCTCTGAGGTGGCTGCAATTTGTTTTTTGTGCATTCTGTATGATTCTCATGACTGTCAGTAAACCATGGGACATGATCTTAGTTTTCTTCTATCTGTTTTTTTGCCTTGGCAGCCACCTATGATTGAGTATATGGAAATTGTAATAACATATCGTTAAGCTGAGGCCTCACTTACTTTGCCAATGATGATATCATATTAAGCATGCCAAGAACTAATGACCTTGAGCTTGTGTTGAGGTCAGTGGTTTTGCGTGCTAATCTACGCTGACTGTTTAAGACTGAGACTTTGAGTAATGCATACCTTACTGATTTTGAATTGGCCTGACATTGTTCCAACCTTTTCAGAGTCTAAGATTGGCACTTGATTTCTCAACTTTTGATGACCCCAACTGTAAAATAAGTAGTAAGAACCGACTGCTTGCACTTGATAAATATGAGCTTATTTTATTGCCATATAACAATCTGATTTGAATATGTATGATTCACTTGCAAGGTGGTTAGCAATGTCAAATGGCATGTTTAGAAACTTATTTTATTCACTTGCAAGAGTATGTTAGATTGACAATACTACTATGCTTATGTGTCTACATGCCTATCCTGCTGAAATCCCTTATTTCTTAGCAATAAATTGGATGTTTTTTTTATGAAATCGCTGATTGGCGTAGCACCTCAAAGTGTGATTCTCTCAACATTTGACTTCAATAGGATGCCCTCTGATTTGTATCATAGCTGTCTTTAGTGTTTTTCTTAGTGTATGGTAGATGTGCTGATACAAGCATTGCTGATATAAACCATGCAGTCTAGTGTTCATGCTGTTGTACTTTATGCTAGTATATAACTGATTTGTCCCTTTGCACTGCCTTACTTTCTCGAGCCTTCTCGTGCTAATTATTTGTTGAAGGCAATGCT